GGGCTGCCTAGTATGGACCAATAGACCTACAAGGGGCTGCCTAGTATGGACCAATAGACCTACAAGGGGCTGCCTAGTATGGACCAATAGACCTACAAGGGGCTGCTTAGTATGGACCAATAAGGCAACTGCAGTTTCCTCTGTTCTTACACGCAATAGGAAGTTATGCGTTGCTAGTGTTTTTCAAGTCTTCGTGGGCAATACAAGTGAGAGAGAGAGAGAGAGAGAGAGAATAGGTGGCTAGGTCGTACTGAGAGAGAGAGAGAATAGGTGGTTAGGTCGTACTGAGAGTAAGTAGCTAGGTCGGCGTACTGAGAGAGAGAGAGAGAGAATAGGTGGCTAGGTCGTACTGAGAGAGAGAGAGAATAGGTGGTTAGGTCGTACTGAGAGAGAGAGAGAGAGAATAAAATTAGTTGGAAGTCGTACTGGAGAGAGAGAATAAGTCAGTTTGGAGTCGTACTAGGAGAGAGAGATAGGTGGTTAAGGTCGTGCTGAGGAGGAGAATAGGTGGCTAGGTCGTACTGAGAGAGAATAGAATTGGATTTAGGTCGTACTGGAGAGAGAGAATAGGTGGTTAGGTCATTACTGAGGAGAAGATAGGTGGTTAGGTCGTACTGGAGAGAGAATAGGTGGGTTAGGTCGTACTGAGGAGAGAGATAGATGGCTAGGTCGTACTGAGAGAGAGAATAGGTGGCTAGGTCGTACTGAGAGAGAGATTAGGTGGTTAGGTCGTACTAGAGAGAGAATAAGTGGATTGGAGTGTGCAGAGAGAGAATAGAGTGGTTAGGTCATGCTGGAGAAGAGAATGGGTGTGGTTGAGTCATTACTGGAGAGAGAGAGAGATAGATTGGTTGGGTCACGTACTGAGGAGAGAGAGAATAGGTGGATTTAGGTCGTACTGAGAGAGAGAGAAATGGGTGGATTGGGTCGTGCTGGGAGAGAGAGAGAGAGAATAGGTGGTTAAGTTCGTACTGAGAGAGAGAGAGAATAGGTGGCTAGGTCGTACTGAGGAGAGAGAGAGAATAGGTGGATTGGGTCATTGCCAGGAGAGAGAGAATGGGTGGTTGGGTCGTACTGAGAGAGAGAGAGAGAGAGATAGATTGGATTGGGTCGTACTGAGAGAGAGAGAGAGAGAGAATGGGTGGTTAGGTCGTACTGAGAGAGAGAGAGGAAGATAGATTGGTTGAGTCTGCACAGAGGAGAGAATAAGTGGATTAAAATTAGTACTGAGAGAGAGAATAGGTGGTTAAGTCATTACTGAGAGAGAGAGAATAGGTGGTTAGGTCAATACAAGAGAGAGAGAGAGAGAATAGGTGGTTAAGGTCGTACAGAGAGAGAGAATGAAATTGGCTGAGAGAGAGAGAGAGAGAGAGAGAGAGAGAGAGAATAGGTGGCTAGGTCGTACTGAGAGAGAGAGAGAGAATTGGTGGCTAGGTCGTACTGAGAGAGAGTGAGAGATACATAGAGAAACCACTTTATCTCTTGCAGTATTCTCTTAAGTGTACTCATTATAAAGTGTACTATTATAGTAGGAGTAGGTAGTAGGTAGTAGGCAGCAACCAAACAGGGAGGTACTACCGCCTGGGAAGATATTGGAAGCATAATGTGTTGTCTAATGGTAGACCCTGCTGCCATATGTGACCAAGTCCCAGGTTGATGATCTGACTTTCTGCCTCATTTACACACAATTGCAGGTCTCAATTGTTTCTCTTACCTTGACAACACAACATACATATATTGTTTCTCACTTTTGATCTTTTTTTCATTTTTGTATTTATAGTTCTTTATTATTAAAATTATTATTATTATTACAGTTACTGTATCATTATCATTAGGTTATTATTTTATTTTTGTTTGTTTTATCATAAATTTTATTTATTATGAATTATTATGACTATTATTTATTATTATTATTATTATTACATTTTCGCCCCCCAGGCCCCGATGTGGGTCAGTGACCTGTGTCCGGGTGGGCTAATCCCCGTAAAAAAAAGAAGATACAATGTACTCAAATAACCTTAAATGTACTCATCTATTACATGTACTCTCCTTATCTAATAGGAACTCATGTTTGTACTTCATTTTAACCTTTAAAGTACTACGATCTACTAATGTGTACTAAAATGTACTCTCATATACTGTACCAATATTTAATCCCATGTACTCTCCTATACAAAGATGTACTATTCCTTACTAATTTATAACACCATGTACTAAAATGTAACACCATGTACTAAAATGTAACACCATGTACTAAAATGTAACACCATGTACTAAAATGTAACACCATGTACTAAAATGTAACACCATGTACTAAAATGTAACATCCACCCGTACAGGAGCTATCGGGGCATTACTACGATGGATTAGTCCCCTGGTGATTGTACCGACAGTCACTCTCATTGGCTTTTCGCTGTACCCTGTCGCAGCTAGCAAGGCATCCTCTCACTGGGGTATCGCCTCTATGTGAGTTACTGTCTATTTTTGTGTGTATCCGTCTGTTTTTGGTTCTGTATATCTGTTTGTTTGTATTTTTACTGTTTGTGGTTCTCTGTCTCTCTCTGTCTATCTTTCTTTACTGTTTTCTTCTCTCTCTCTCTCTCTCTCTCTCTCTCTCTCTCTCTCTCAATATGCACTATATATATATTAAGTAACAGTGTATGGAAAGCTATGTTTATATATGTAAAAAATTTCTTTCAAAAGTTTTAAAATTACAAAACCAGAGCCATGAACTACTGAAACTGACTTAACGAGAACTGCTGAAACTGAGCTTAAACTTGTCTAGAACTACTGAAAATGGCCTTAAATTTGACCAAAACTACTGAAGCTTACCTAAAACTCACTACAATTCCATCATTACTTTAAATCCATAAATATCATCCCCAGACCCTTAAAAATACCTTAATTCCACTCAGAACCCTTTAAACTGACCCCAGATTCCACTCAGAAACCCTTAACCAATCCCAGAACCCTTTTAGCAAACTATTAACTCCTTAAACAACCCCAGAACCCCTTTATTAATCTTAGAACCCCTTTAACAATCCCAGAATCCTTTTAAATAACTCCGAATATCATCTAGAACCCCTTTACATAACCCACCCCATTTTGTTTTCCCCAGGACGATCGTGTTACTGGTGTTGTTTTCCCAGTACCTGAGCGAGGTGGCACTACCTGGGTTTACCTGGTCAAGAGAGAGAGGCTTCACCCGAATTAACATCTACGTCTTCAAACTCTTCCCGGTAGGTGAGGTAGGGGGGAGGGGTGTGGTGAGGGGGAGATAGGGGAGGTGTAGGTAGTAGGAGTTAGGTAATAGGAGAGGAGGGAATTGAGGAAGGGGTGGTAGGGAGGAAGAGGTGTGGGGGTATTAGACGGGAGAGAGGAGGATGGGACCAAGGGAAAAGTGAAAGGGGTAGGTAAAGGAAGTGTGTGTGTGTGTGTGTGTGTGTGTGTGCGTATACAATAGCCAATGTCTATAAAGGGCCTGTGCTGTATAGCCTTGGGGTAGGTAGGTGGGTGGGTGTTCTGTGTGTGAGGTCAAGTAACCCACGAGTCTTGATGTTGCACACGCACCTAATGGAATATCTCATCCACTGGTATTGTCATGAGGGACGTAAATAATGAACCAATCAATATCTTACTTAAAAAAGGAAACAATATAAACAGCGTATCTTACTTTAACCAATAAACAGACATCACTAGAAGCAACCCTTAAATGATGACGTAATAGATTTTAACCAATAAACAGACATCACTAGAAGCAACCCTTAAATGATGACGCAATAGATTTTAACCAATAAACAGACATCACTAGAAGCAACCCTTAAATGATGACGTAATAGATTTTAGCCAATCATATCGTCTTTGAGAAAAATAAACACACACTATTTTGTTTTTGTTGATGGTAGTAGGCAGCTACCAAACAGGGAGGTACTACCGCCTGGGAAGACATTGGAAGCATAATGTGTTGCCTAATGGTAGACCCTGCTGCCATATGTGACCAAGTCCCAGGTTGCTGCTCTGACTTTCTGCCTCATTTACACACAATTGCAGGGTCTCAATTGTTTCTCTTATTATTGACAACACAACATACATATATTATGGTTCCTCACTTTTGATCTTTTTTTATGGTTTATTATTATTATTGTTATTATCATTGTTATTTTATTATTATTTTTTTATTTGTTATTATAAATTTTACTTCTCTGAATTATTATTATTATTATTATTACATTTCAGTCCTCCAGGCCCCTTATGTGGGTCAAAGCACAAGTGCCAGGTGGGCTAACTGCAAAAAGGGGGGCTTTTAGTAGCACACACACACACACACACACACACACACCACACAGGTAAACCACACCCACCAACTCCTTCTGTAAGTAAGATGAAAATGAAATAGTCTCTCTCTCTTCACTACCCTCTCTCACACAGGTACTGTTGGCGGTGGTATGCAGGCGGAACGTGCTGGATCTTAACGGTAGACGGAGGTCCGTACTGATGACAACCTCGCCAGATCTGATCTCATAGACTAGATATGATCACGGAGTCGTCTTGGTTCCATGTTCCCTACCCCAGAGTATCTGGTGCTAGAGATCCTGTAGAGGTGTTGTGAGTATCCTGAAGGTGCTGTGAGTATCCTGAAGGTGCTGTGAGTATCCTGTAGGTGTTGTGAGTAATCCTGAAGGTGTTGTGAGTAATCCTGAAGGTGTTGGGGAGTATCCTGAAGGTAAGCCAGGAGTATCTGAAGGTGTTGTGAGTATCCTGTAGGTGTTGTGAGTATCCTGAAGGTGTTGTGAGTATCCTGAAGGTGTTGTGAGTATCCTGAAGGTGTTGTAAGTATCCTGTAGGTGTTGTGAGTATCCTGAAGGTGTTGTGAGTATCCTGTAGGTGTTGTGAGTATCCTGTAGGTGCTGTGAGTACCTGTAGGAGTTGTGAGTATCCTGTAGGTGTTGTGAGTACCTGTAGGTGTTGTGAGTACCTGTAGGAGTTGTGAGTATCTGCAGAAATGCCTGTTCGTATCTGTATAAGAATATCAAGGACCATTTATACTGTACTAACCCATCTACACCACTTTACAGGTCAGTGGGGGCAGGCACTAACCTACCTACACCACTTTACAGGTCAGTGGGGGCTGCCTACAGTGAGCGTGGCAGGAGTGCTTGGTATGTTGGCTGGTGTCCTCGCAAGCATCGTGGAGAGCGTTGGTGACTACTTTGCTTGTGCTAGATTGTCTGGTGAGTCTCTCTCTCTCTCTCTCTCTCTCTCTCTCTCTCTCTCTTCTCGACTGTCTTCGTTCCTTTCTTTCTCCTTTACTTTCCCTTCCTACTTCCTTTATTCTTCTCCTCGAATTTCTTCCTATCTTCTTCCTCTTACCTAACATCCCTGTCTTCCTCCTTCTCTCTCTCTCCCTCCTTCCTTCCTTCCATTGTTTCCTCTTTGAATTAATCTGAGGTCAATTAACTCTCACTGTGAATATCATGTAAAGTCTGTGATTGGCTATTTAGTGACAGATCCTGGCTGTGATTGGTGGAAAAAATTACGTGCTAATAATAGAACCCTAACTGTGATTGGCTATTTAGTGACAGATCCTGGCAGTGATTGGTGGAAAAAATTACGTGCTAATAATAGAACTCTAATTGTGATTGGCTATTTAGTGACAGATCCTGGCTGTGATTGGTGGAAAAATATGTATAAGTTGATCTTGACTGTTATTACTTATGACTACTTAATGTAAACAACTTCTAATGATTATTTAATGTTTACACCTTGTTTACATTGTTTACTCTCGTGCTGGCCCGCAGGAGCGCCGGCACCCCCCAAGCATGCCATCAACCGGGGTATCTGGATCGAGGGACTTGGCACTATTCTGGCAGGGCTGTGGGGCACGGGGAGTGGCACCACTTCCTACTCCCAGAACGTCGGGGCCATTGGTGTCACCAAGGTGGGTATCCCAGGCTGTTGGCAGGTCACGGGGGCTCTTGTGAGAGTCCTTACTTAACCTAACCTAACCTAACCAAACCTAACCTAACTCAACCTAGCCTTACCTGACCCGACCTAATCTAACTTAGGATTAAAAAGCATAACAATGGAGCCTATTAGGAAAATGTCTTATTTTCACCAGTGTCTATTAAAGCTGGGTCCCAATAACACTGTGCCCCAATAACACTGTGACCCAATAACACTGTGACCCATTTAAGCTGTGACCCAATAACACTGTGACCCAATAACACTGTGCCCCAATAACACTGTGACCCATTTAAGCTGTGACCCAATAACACTGTGACCCATGAGGACCCATATATGAACAGGTGTATAGAACATCTGTGTTATAATGGACACGAGAGGAGGGGTGTGTGGACGGAGGGTAAACCACAGTGTGCACAGTGTGATTATACGCGATTTCCTGTTCTATTGTACACACTCCCGCTTGTGTCACACTCTGAACCATGAACAACCTCCTCTCCCCCCCTCTCCCCCCCCTCCCCCGTATATAGCCTTGACGAGGGTAGGGAATATATCAGTAATGGGATGTGGTTTATTTTTTTAGAAACTATACTTGGTGATGTTCAGGTGATTTTATAGTTAAGGACCTACCTGACGAAGTAACCAATGTTTGTATGTGTCATGTATACAGGGGGACTCATAACCAAAGGCCTATCTGACGAAGTAACCAATGTTTGTATGTGTCATGTATACAGGGGGACTCATAACCAAAGGCCTACCTGACGAAGTAACCAATGTTTGTATGTGTCATGTATACAGGGGGACTCATAACCAAAGACCTACCTGACGAAGTAACCAATGTTTGTATGTGTCATGTATACAGGGGGACTCATAACCAAAAAGACCTACCAGATTTAGCAACCAACGTATATGCATGTACAGGTTGGGAGCCGTCGTGGTGCAGTCCAGCGCGCAGCTATCATGCCCTGTGTGGCCTGGCAAAGGTCGGGGCTCTGCTCATCACCATCCCAGAGCCCATCATCGGCGGCATCTTCTGTGTGTTCATCAGCCTCCGTCGGCTCAACCTTCAGTACGTCGACCAACCTCCAGGAACTCATTGGCTTTTTCTTCGGGATGGCTCTGCCCATGGTGAGAGAGAGAGAGAGAGAGAGAGAGAGAGAGAGAGAGAGAGAGACAGTGTGTGTGTGTGTAGTGTACAGTGCATCATTGTATCGTGTGTCAGTCTTTGTCAAGGGATGCAAATAATTATATAGTTAATACACCCACTTACACCACCTACACCACTTACACCACTCTTACACGTTTAACCTAACCACCATTCCAGGACCACTAACACCTTTAACCACCACGCAAGCATCACTAACACCCATTACTTCCTCTACAGTGGATGGCGAAACCAGAAAACCTGAGAATTATCCAGACGTCAGTACCTATGTTGGATCAGGTGTTATCGGTACTGTTGAAGACGTCCATGTTTGTAGGAGGCTGTCTCGGCTTTTTCCTTGACAACACTATCCCAGGTAGGTTGGTCTCCTCACCCCAGCCATTCTCCTGTTCTCACCCCCAGCCACCTCCTGTCTCACCCCAGCCACCTCCTTGTTCTCACCCCAGCCACCTCCTTGTCTCCTCACCCCCAGCCACCCTCCTGTTCCCTCACCCAGCCACCTCCCTCCTGGTCTCACCCCAGCCACCTCCTGTCTCACCCCAGCCACCTCCTCCTGTCTCACCCCAGCCACCTCACCTCCTTGTTCTCATTCCAGCCACCCTCCTTGTCTCACCCCAGCCACCTCCTCCTGTCTCACCCCAGCCACCTCCTGGTCTCACCCCAGCCACCTCCTTGTCTCACCCCAGCCACCACTTGTTTCATTCCAGCCACCTCCTTGTCTCACCCCAGCCACCCTCCTTGTCTCCCCACCCCAGCCACCCTCCTTGTTCCCTCACCCCAGCCAATTCCTGGTCTCACCCCAGCCACCTCCCCTCCTGGTCTCCTCACCCCAGCCAAGTAATTAAGACCCATTTCTGCCTTAACTGACGTCATTAAGACCTATCCTTACCTTAACTAACCTTGCTAATTGCTATCCTTACCTAACCTAACTAAACTCTATCTCAACTTGACCTGACCTGACGTAATCATTATTAACCTCTGTCTTAACTTGACCTGACTTGAACTGGCTTAACCATTATTAACCTCTATCTCAACTTCACCTGACCTGACCTAACTTAACCAATATTAATCTCTACGTCGACTTAACCTGACCTGATCTATCTTAACCATTATTAAGTTATATCTCAACTTAACCTGACCTAAATTAACCATTATTAAGCTCTATATCAACATGACCTGACCTGACCTGACCTAACTTAACCATTACAAACATTTATCTCAACATGACCTGACATAACCAATATTAACGTCTACCTCAACTTAACCTGACCTAACCTAAATTAACCATTATTTTAACTATTTCAACTTAAGCTAACCTGACCTGACCTTTCTCTCTAGGGACGGACGAGGAGCGAGGGATGGTGGCGTGGAAGGATCAGTTAAAGCCCCCTAGTGAAGAATCTGCCATGGACCATTCTTGTTATAACCTTCCCGTAGGCATGGACACCGTCAGGAGGTAATGTGTAGGTTTTGTATCCGTCTGTTTGTGGAGGGATATTTTTGGTGAGTGTGTGTCTGTGTGAACCTAATCTAACCTAGTCTGTCTGTGTCTGTTTGTGGGGGAGTTAATATTTTTAGTGTGTGTGTGTCTGTGTGAACCTAATCTAACCTAACCTTCATCTCTCGTTTATAATGTTACAACTGTTTAATATATTACAGATGGAATTGGACGAGGTATGTACCCATATCCCCTACGTTTATCGGCTGGGGGTTCGTAAGGAAGAGGTGTATGAAATCATCAGCGTAGAGGGTGCCACTACTACTATCACCACCCACAACTACAGCTACTATTACTACTTCACATCACCACCACCATCACTATATTAATACTACCATCACCATCACCACTACTACTACTACTGCTACTTTTTTTTTCTTCCTGTATAATAACCTCCAGCCTCCTCTTATTAACCATGCCACCAATTTTACATCATATGACCCCCTTCCCCCCTCACCCCCTCAGTGTCACCCTGACGAAGGAGTCGATAAATAAAGTACTTCTTGGGCGATAGAACCCACAGATATCATCCACAGAACCCTTCCCTCCTCCCTGACGAGATCCCCTTGTGCCATCTCCAGAACCACCAGCACTACCCCCCAACAGAACCACCAGCACTACCCCCCAACAGAACCATCAGCACCTCACTAACAACAAATACACTCCGGGAAACTGACAGACAAATGGACAACAACGTCTTATTGTATCTACCAAACACAAGCCAGCATAAGACGACGTATCTTTAAGCTTTACGTCGTCATATAACCAGGGCAGCAGTGCAGAGATCCTGTAAATTTGGCCTAGAAACGCACACACTCTTTATTTTTTGTGAACGAATGCTAAGAAGAAGCTACACTGACAGGAAAACAAATTAAGATGAGCAAAACTTCAAGATAAATACTTTAAATGTACAGAAAAATACAAATGAGATACTTTAGTCATATAATTAAGGATGATGTGATAATAATAACATAAATATTAATGGGTAAAGTTGGTGGTAGGTGGGTCAGGGGAAGGTAGGGACTGGGATGGATGGAGGACTGTGGTCGCTAACCCTCAGATATGACGAAGGAATTCTGATAATGCGGTCCTGATGGTTAAAAGATGCTCCTATAGTACATTATGTTGATCACGTGGAAATTAGTCCCAACCTTACTTAACCCCCGATAGCATTAGGAGGGCTAATCTTCATGTGATCCATTTGTGTCCTTAGCAACCGTGCCGCTTGTCTGAGCTGTCACGGTTGCTAGGGACAAATTTAAATGGGTTGAGATTAGTCGATAAGTCAATTATTCTCGAAATTTTATGACCCCCCAACAAATTATCTCACCTCACTTGCGGTCATAACTTTACCTCACAAGATATCATGACCCCACATTACAACAGGTCATGACCCCACATTACAATAGGTCATGACCCCCACATTACAACAGGTCATGACCCCACATTACAATAGGTCATGACCCCCACATTACAACAGGTCATGACCCCCACATTACAACAGGTCATGACCCCACATTACAACAGGTCATGATCCCACATTACAATAGGTCATGACCCCCACATTACAACAGGTCATGACCCCACATTACAATAGGGCCAGACCACATATACAGGTCATGACCCCACATTACAACAGATCATGGACCCCACATTTTGCAATAGGTCATGGCCCACATTACAACAGGTCATGACCCTTATTATACATAACAGTCATGACCCCACATTACAACAGGTCATGACCCCACAACAGGTCATGACCCCCAATTACTGCAATAATAGGTCACAGTGACCTCTATTATTACAATAGTCATGACCCCACATTACAATAGTCATGATCCCTTACAATAGGTCATGATCCCCACATAATAGGGCCATGACCCTTATTAGCAACAGGTCATGACCCCACATTACAACAGGTCATGACCCCACATTACAACAGGTCATACCCCACATTACAATAGGTCATGACCCCCACATTACAATGGGTCATGACCCCACATTACAATGGGTCATGACCCCACATTACAACAGGTCATGACCCCCACATTACAATAGGTCATGACCCCACATTGCAATAGGTCATGACCCCTACATTACAATAGGTCATGACTCCACATTACAACAGGTCATGACCCCACATTACAACAGGTCATGACCCCACATTACAATAGGTCATGACCCCACATTACAATAGGTCATGACCCCCACATTACAATAGGTCATGACCCCCACATTACAATAGGTCATGACCCCACATTACAACAGGTCATGACCCCACATTACAGTAGGTCATAAACCCCACAAAATGTCATCACCCTACCTAACATGTCATGACCCCATCCCATTGCAGGTCATGACCCCATCCCATAACAGGTGTGGGGATCATGACACCTCGGCCAGTGAGAAGTTATTGTGTGACCTCTGAGTCTTCCGTTTGTTTCTGTATGCAATGTTGTCTCAATAAAAGTCTTTGAAAACTATTGTGAATTTTTACTTAAAGAAATGTAAGTTTGTAACGTTGTGTGTGTGTGTAAAACATCACAGATGACATGTAATAGACAGTAGGCAGTCGGCAGCTACCAAACAGGGAGGTACTACCGCCGTGGAAGATATTGGAAGCATAATATATTGTCTAATGGTAGACCCTGCTGCCATATGGCATCACGAAAATTGTGACCAAGTCCCAGGTTGCTGCTCTGACTTTCTGCCTCATTTACACACAATTGCAGGGTCTCAATTGTCTCTCTTACTATTGACAACTCAACATACAAACAGTATATTGTTCCTCACTTTTGATCTTTTCATTTGTGTATTTATGGTTCTTTATTATTATTGTTATTACAGAGTTATTATTATTTTATTTTTTTATTTTAAATTTCATCTACTATGAATTATTATTATTATTATTATTACTTTTTTGCCCCCCAAGCCCTTATGTGGGTCAGTGACCTGTGCCCGGGTGGGCTAATGCCCGCAAAAAAATAAAAAATAATTATATATATATATATATATATATATATATATATATATATATATATATATATATATATATATATATATATATATATATATATATATATATGCAAGTAAATCATCGTAGGTACGTGATCCTTGTACATTGGGTATATATATATATATATATATATATATATATATATATATATATATATATATGTAAGTGTACACAGTGCAGTGCCAGGAGTTGCTGCAGGAGGAGCTTGCTGAGGAGGTCCTAAGTTAAAAGAGGAGTCATTGAGAGGGTGGTCCTGTTGGGGTGGAGGAGCTTGCTGAGAGGTCCTGTTGGGTGAGGAGCTTGTTGAGAGAGCTTGTTGAGAGAGCTTGTTGGTGAGGAGCTTGTTGAGAGGTCCTGTTGGGTGAGGAGCTTGTTGAGAGAGCTTGTTGGTGAGGAGCTTGTTGAGAGGTCCTGTTGGGTGAGGAGCTTGTTGAGAGGTCCTGTTGGGTGGGGAGGAGCCAAGTGAGAGGTCCTGCTGGGGTGAGGAGCTGCTGAGAGGCCCTGTTGGGTGAGGAGCCATTGAGAGGTCCTGTTGGTTTGAGAACGTTGGGTAGAGTGGTGATGATGATGATGATGATGATAATGAAGATAAAATGGCAATGGTTTGCCATGGGAAGGGAGAGAAGAGGTAAGGTAGAAGGAAAGTTATGAAACGGGAAGTAAAGTAGTAGAGAATAAGAGCAGATGGGCTATCCACCTAGCAGAGACGATTTGATTGGCTGTGGTGAAGGCCGCACTAAGAGGTCGCCCGAGCTCAAGGGAACAGGGGGGGGGGAGGAGGCAAAGCTAGCTAGCAAGGGGGTGTTTGTTATTGTGTTAGTTGGAGAGGTCTACTAGGTCCTTGTGTAACTAGTGGAATACTCTCATCTTTTGTGTACTATTTAGTGTACAATAGTTATGGCTCTTGAGGGTTATGGAGAAGGCTTTTTGGCCACCAGCTGTGTGATCTTGTGGTGTCCTCTGTTTTTAGTCGATGGTATATTTCGTCTTCCATTACTTCTAGTTTGTACCATACTGCCTGTGCTTGGCTGTATGTTCTTATGTTCAGTGGTAAAATATTGTATTTTTCGTGAAGCTCTTTAATTTTGGTTGTGTATGGGGGACGTTGTTTGGAGGCTCTGCGGATGGCTTTGTTCTGTGTTGCCTGAAGTTTTAATTGGTTGGTAAGGCTGATCGTGTTTAATGGTATTGGCGGGTATTCAAGATGGGGGCGGACAAGTGCTTTAAATAGATGTAGTTGTATTTTCTCTTCCATTTTGCCGAATCTTCTTAATGTGGTAAGCTGTATTTGGGTTAGTCTATTTCGTTCTGTTATGTGTTTATTTATTCCTGTTCTTGTTATTGTTAGCCCCAGTATTTTTCCTTCGTTTGAGTATTGTATTTCTTCGTTGTTTACTGTGATTGGTGCTGAGTTTATCCTGGAAATGTGTATGATTTTTAGTTTCTGTGTATTAGTTTTTATTTTCCATCTCTTCTCGTAATCATTTATTTGTATTATGGCGCGAGCTGTTTTTAATGCCATCATCTGTTTGGCCTTGCCTGGATGGCGGATGATCTGGGTGACATCATCAGCATATGCGATGTATTCATCGTGAATTGGTGGCGGCATGTCTGAAGTGTAGATTGTGTAAAGAGTTGGGGATAAATTACTTCCTTGTGGTACTCCACTATAAAGTGTGAAGCTTGGGCCTTTGTGATTGCCTATTATAATGTGTGCTTCTCTATTGTCCAGGAAATTACACAGTAGAGAAGTGAAGTTGTTAGGGAGTTCTTGATTGGTTATTTTATATTTAGTCCCAAGTGCCAGACCTTATCGAACGCTTTTGCCACATCCCTTAAAACTATGTTGCACTGTTCTCTATTATGCATTGCGTTTGCAATACTTTCGTATATAAGGGCTATGGTTGTGTTTGTTCCTCTGTGTTTCCTGAATCCGTGTTGTCTAGGGTTGTATTTGTATTCCAGTTCCAGGTGTGTTCTTAATCGGTGGTTAATTATTTTTTCCAAAATTTTTCCCGGAGTTTCTAAGAGGGAGATTGGTCTGTAGTTTTCTACTGCTGTGGGGGCTTTTCCCGGTTTTGGTATCAGTCTGATAATTGCTATCTTGAATTTCTTTGGGTAGTAGCCTGAAGCTATGGATGCGTTGAATATATTTCTTAGTAGAAGTACCATGTTGCTTGGTAATTGCTGTAAAATGAGTTTATTTATTTTACTGACTCCAGGAGCCTTGTTCTTAAAGCTATTGAGTGTTCTTACTATTTCGTCCACCGTGATTGGTTTGTTTAGTGGGGACATGTCATCCAGTGTATTCAGGTCGATCGTGGGGCTCGGTTGCCAAATATGGGTTATTTGCGACATATGGTTGGATACTTCCCTCTCTGTGGTCATGCAAAAGTTTAAGTTTTCTTCGTTGGTGATTTGAAAAATCTTACTCCAGAAAGATCTAAATTCCGGTTCTTGTTCGGTTGGTTCTGTTAATTTGACTTGATTACTATTTATTATATAGTTTGACTCGTTGCTGGAGGTTCCCATTAAGTGCTTTATTTCCAGTTCGGTTTATGGTAGTTTCCTTCCGTTTATGAAATCAGCTTCTGCCAGTTCCTGTTGTATGCTTCTTTTGATATCTTTTTTAGTTGTTCGTGTATTATGTTGTATATGTTTCTGTGTTCCGGTGTCCATCCCTGCTGTGTGATTAGTTTAATTAGGTTGCTAAACTGTGTCTGTATGATTCTTGATTGGTGTGAGTATTGAGGGTGTGGTAATGTCCGGTGAGTGGTCTTGGGTATGTTGTGTTCCATGGCCTGGCTGACGTGCTCATACCATATATCCAGTGATTGGTCTATTAGAGAAGTATGCCCGTTGTCTAATTGTATGGGTTGCGGGTTATTTAATTCTTGTTTGAAGTTTTCCCAGTTAGCCCGGTTATAGTTGAATCTTAGCCTGGCTGGGATCTGTATTGGGGCTGTGGAGAGTGTGGCTATGATAGGGAGATGATCACTAGTGGATATTGGGCCGGGTTCGAGTAGTATGTTTAGGTGGTGGTGTTGATTTGTTAACACGAGGTCTGGGTATCCTGTGTGGCCTGCTCTGATGTACGTGGGGAATTCCGGTCCGAGGTGTACCACGTTGCCGTGGCTCACTAGTGTGTTCAGGACCCGGCCTACTGCGTTGTTGGTATGGTGTCCTAGTATGCGGTGTCTAGCGTTGAGATCACCCAGAAAGTATGCAGGTATGTTCCTCCTCATCAATCTGAGCATGTCTGCTATTGGAAAAATTGGTCGTCTTGGAGGGAGGTAGCAGGTGCCGTTGTGCTGTTAATTTCTATTGCCAGAAAGTTTTCTTGGAATGTATCATGGATTTTATGTTTTATGCTTCTTTTAATTGCTATGGCAACTCCATCTTGTAAAGGATTTTGGCTGTTTTTTTGGTATATTCTGTAATTAAATATCTTGATTTTATTTGAATTACCCCTGCCGTGAGAATTTACTATGATGACGTCTGGGTCCAGGGTACGATATATGTTGTATAATTCGTGAGCTCTTGTATGTGTCCAGGCCACAGGACATTATGTTGAATTATTTTAAGTCTGTTGATTTTGAATGGTGATGTCTCGAGCTTGTTTGCGGCTGAGGTGTATTTATATGGTTCTCTAGGATCAGAGAGACGAGGTGCGAAATGAGCGGCGCCAATCACCGCGCAGTTCGCGAGTGAGGCCTGGTCTGTGGAACTCGCTGCTGTATGCCACGGCACTATCTCTCCCACTGCAATTCCCTTCCTAACTTCCTGCTCCTTCCTCTGTCATCTTCCCCGCTCTGACTTTCGCTACCAACAACTTTTTGGAGCTTCTAAACTTGGAAAGCTGATTGGCTAGTAAGCGAACGGCAAGTGATCAGTCAGCAGTTGTAGTGGATTCCTCCCTTACAAGCACCGAACCTTCTCGAATCCCCCAGCCTACGCCTCCAGCGCCGCCCACGGAGCGGGGGTCAACTATCTACCCACGCCTACTCCCGCCGTATAAGGCTTGACACCGCTGTGACCATCCTCTTTTTACTACCCAGCGCCACCAGCAAGCAACACCTCCGTGCCAGCCGCTCCCGTCAGCGACCTTGGCGTCCCTCGAGCCGCGTGCCCTCACTCTGGGCACCCTCACCACCCAGC